GCGCCTGGGTGGCTCAGTTGGTTGAGTGTCCGACTTTGGCTCAGGTCATGATCTTATGGTTCGTGAGTTCAAGCCCCACATCGGGCTCTGTGCTGATGGCTCAGAGCCTGGAGCCTGTTTGGGATTCTGTGTCTCCCTCTCTCTGCCCCTCCCCTGCTCCTGCTCTCTCTCTGTCTCTCAAAAATAAATAAATGTTAAAACATTTTTTTAAAAAAGGTGACCCACAGAATGGGAGAAAATATTTGCAAGTCATATATCTGACAAGGACCAAGGATCCAAGATATATAAAGAGCTCCTACAGCTCAATCATAAACAGGCAACCCAATTTAAACATGCGCAAAGGATTTGAACAGACGTTTTCCCGAGGATAACGTACAAATGGGCAACAGGCACATGAAAAGATGCTCGACAGTATTGGTTATTAAGGGAATGCAAAGCAAAACCATTGTGGGCCACCACTGCGCCTGCACTAGGATGGCTACTGGCTACAATAAAAAAGACAGTGACAACCGTTGTCAGGGATGTGGAGACATTGGAACGCTCATGTGTTATCGAGGGGAATGTAAATGGTGCAGCCGCTTTGGAAAACTCCTCAAGAGAAACCAAAGTATTAGGGGCGCCTGGGGGGCTCGGTTAAGTATCCGGCTCTTGGTTTCCGCTCGGGTGGTGATCTCATGGTTCGTGAGTTCAAGCCCCACATCAGGCTCCGCGCTGGAAGAGTGGTGCCTGCTTGGAATTCTCTCCCCTCTCTCTCTGCCACTCCCCCACGCGTGCTGTCTCTCTCTCAAAATAAATAGACTTAAAAACGTTTAAAAGGAGAGAGAGAGAAACGAAAGTATGTCCATACAACGGAATACTATTCAGCGACAAAAAGGAACAAAACAGTGACACAGGCCATGACGTGAATGATCCTCAAAACATGATGCTAAGCGAAAGAAGTCAGAAAAGATCACATATCACACGATTCCATTTATATGAAATTCTAGAATAGGCTATCTTTAGAGACAGAACATAGATCAGTGGTTGCCTGGGACTGGGGTGAGAATGGAGATTAACTGTTGCATGACTCAGTAAATTTACCAAAAACCATTAAACTATATACTTGAGAGGCTTTAAAATTTTTCTTTAATGTTTATTTTTGAGAGAGAGAGAGAGAAAGAGCAAGAGAGACGGACAGAGAGTGAGTGGGGGAGGGGCAGAGAGAGAGGCAGACACAGAATCCGAAGCAGGTTCGAGGCTCCGAGCTGTCAGCACAGAGCCCGACGTGGGGCTTGAACTTACAAACTGCAGGATCATGTCTTGAGCCGAAGTCGGACGCCCAACCGACTGAGCCGCCCAGGTGCCCTGCACAAACACTTTTTGTTTTGATGAGTCCGACGTATCTTTTTTTCTTCTGTCATTTGTGTTTTGGAATCATATATAAGAAACCATTGCGTAAC